CATACTGGAGAGAAACCTTACAAATGTAAGGAATGTGGCAAAGCCTTCACCCACTGCACAGCTCTTAGTACGCATCATAAAATACATACTGGGAAGAAACCTTACTCATGTAAAGACTGTGGTAAATCCTTTTATTTGTTGTCAAGACTTAAGGAACATTATAGAGTCCACACTGGAGAGAAACCATACAAGTGCAACGAATGTGGTAAGTTCTTTCATTGGTTGTCAAACCTTAAAAGACATTCCAGAATCCACACTGGAGAGAAGCCTTACAAATGTGGAGAATGTGACAAATCATTTAACCACTGCTCAAGTCTTAAAGCTCATCAGAAAATTCATGCTGGGGTGAAATCCTATAAATGTGAAGAGTGTGGCAAGTCCTTTTATTGGTTGTCAAACCTTAAAACCCATTACAGAATCCACACTGGAGAGAAACCTTACAAATGTGACGAATGTGACAAGTCCTTTTCCCAGCGTTCTCTTCTTACAAGGCACAACAAGATTCATACTAGAAAAAAATATGAATATAAGAAACTTGTGAGTGATTCAGAGCCACAGAGTTGGTCCTAGCCACACCCACTTAGCATTAAAAAAAAGAAAGCACTCCTGGCCAGAGAATAATTACAGATTTATCTGCAGTAAAGACAAATTCAGATGAAAAAGACGTCTAAATGGGTCACAGTGTTGGATAAATGTACATAGGCTTGAAAGAGAGGAAAAGAAGTATAAACAGTTATAATATTAAAGACTACAGTCATAGATTAAAGGAGTAAAGAAAATAAATATTAAACTTGTGTAAAAAGTAATAGAGTAAGAAAAATAAGTTACATGAAGATGTGTGTGTATATATATATATATTACATATATATATATATATACATATAAATTTTTGACTATGAATGAGCTAAGTACAGAGAGGTATTTCATTGTATGGGCTGCCAAACTAAACCAACAGATTTTAAAGGTATCTTGACTTCAAAATTTGGTTCTAAGGATATGTTGCTTTGGGAAAGAGGTTCTGCTTTTGTTTCCACAGAGGATGAGAACCTGTGGATTCCTTCCAGACTTATGTGGTTTGATGAACAAAGACCCCCAAAAGGTCTTCATGAACCCCCCAAAATACTTCACCCAGCCAAAAGCAGGAAGTAGTTTGGAGAGTTTACTCAAATTCCCAAATATTGTTTATGAATGTTTGTTTTCAATAAAGGGGGATGTGATATAGAGATGAATGCTTTGCATTTGTATGAATCTTGGTTTATTGATACAAATTTTAGGTCAATTTTATTACATGTATATTTCTGCTCTTGATTAAGGTTTTGTGTTTGTGCAGCTCATTTAAAATGTAATGTATAATTAAGAAATATAGGTTAATGGATAGTGATCTGTAATAGTTCAGCTTGCAGTCATGCTAGTTAGGTTTTCTGGATGTACAAAAATATATCTCAGATGGATAGGTATTCTTCAGATCTTTCAAAGACTAACAGACTATGGCATTTAAAATGTTTTAAGAACTTAGGACTTTTCATGACAATGAGAAACATCTGCTCCTGGCAGCATCAGTCTACTTCAAGAGGATGATGGGCATCGAAGAAGCTCCTCATGGAGTTTGTTAGCCATTTAGGCAAGAAATTGCTCTTGCCTGGACCGCTTGATGGTATGCTATATAAACTGGACATGCAGGACCCACAGAAAAATGACTGCTGAACTTGCCTTAAGGTGAGATGATCCTTCATTCAGGGTTTCTGCTTCATGAAAGAGTCTGCCAGACATTCTGCAGGACACAGAAAAAAAGTGGCTGACAAACTGCCAAAATAGACAGAACTGTTTTTGAAATTTCCTGCTTCATGGAAAAGTCTGCTGGATCCTATGGGCCTGTAGGCTAAAGATGGATGCCCCAGTGTTACAGAAGAACTTTGGTGACTGTCCAGGCAGTGAGATGTCTCTGTCAATTCTAGAGTTTTGGAAGTTGTTTACAATGCACTTCTTGTTAACTTAGGTAATATTATATCCTTCTGGGATCTTGGATGGAGTTGAAGAATAGATCATTATAATTATAGTTTTCCTTCATTATGATAAAAGATAAAGCAAATATAAATATTGTAACTGTAATTCTTGCTTGATACTTGTTTGTTATATGTAATTTTACTATGTTAAAACCTTTTTATTTAGACAGAAAAGGGGAGGTGATGTGGGATTCCCCTCTTTATGCTGTGAATATGTTTTATTACCATTGGTTAATAAAGAAGCTGCTTTGGGCCTGTGGCAGGCAGAATAGAGTAAGGCAGGAATTCCATGTAGTGATGGAGAATAAAAGAAGGTGGAGTCAGGGAGACGCCGTGAAGCTGCTAAAGGAGACAGGTGCCAGAACTTTACTGGTAGGCTACTACCTCATGGTAAAACATAAAATAATAGAAATGGGTTAATTTGAGATGTAAGAGTTGATAAGAGCCTGAGCTAATAAGCCAAGCAGTGTTTGAATTAATATAGTTTCTGAGTGATTATTTCGGGTCTGAGTGACCTGGAATGAACGAGCACCCTCCACCTACAAGAAATTACTTGAATGTTTACTGTTGTGAAATCCTCGTGTCTTGTACATTAGGAATTAATTACATGTCTTGTAATTCCATGCTAGAGACATCAAAAACTGTATTTAATTTGTCAAGGTTTTTACATAGTATAAACACATGTGAAAATTCATCTTGAAGGGAAAACCAAAAAAAAAATTCCTTTAATAAAGGCTTATCTTTTATTCTCCTTCAAAATAGTCATTCTGGAGTCAAATTCTACAAATAGCAAGAACATGAGAAAGAGTAGAGACTTGGTCTGAGTGTATGACACATGTCCATGCTCATGCACAGCTCGGAAATTCCAAAGAATGTTCAGGAAAGTAATTTTTCAGTACTCAAGAAAGTTGGAAAGTTATTCAATACATAAAAATAAAAAATAAAAAAAAAGAAAAACAAAGTTACTCCAACCGAAAAGCACAGTAATTCATTTAGAAACACTGAGACACAATAGATATTAGGCAAACAAGCATATTACAAAGAGGAAAACCAAATGAGTGAATGAACATGTTCTGTTTTTGAATGGACAAGGATGTTTCTATTTGAATAAATATAATATTATTACTGACATTTTGGCAGTAATAGTATTGGAATTTCCTGAAATTAAACTGGGATACATCCTTGCTGTCTTGCTTACAGATGGTTTTATGATAATGTGTATCAGTTGTTGCTTATCAGGGCTGATAAACCTGAGACAGGTGTCAAGGAAGTTTAGATAGATAGAGACTAATCACTAACCATCTATGAACCCAATTCAAATGGACAGACTCCTGAGGGCAAGTTTAGAGGGTCCGTGGCTCAAAGCTCTTCTTCCTGCAGATCAAGGCCCCTCTTCTTGATGACCTTTTGGTAACTACAGTAGTTCCAGTGCTAGGGAGAATTCTGTCATTGTGTGCCTATGAAGACCCCTCCATTTTTGCCCACTTTACCCTGACTGCTCATTAATGGTTCACTAGTTAAAACAACCTTTGCCACCCAAGCAGAATCCTGTCTTGGAATCCCTTTGGTTTCAGGAGTTACTCTTCCCCTTGATTTGTAACACATGGTGGTTGAAATGATTGACTCTCCCGGAGTTCAGTTTTCTTTGTGTGGGGGCAAGATTCTGATAGCAGCTTACAGGTACACTCCCTGGCACTTGCCGCCTATAACTCCTGGAAATGTGACTGTGTTTTTTTATTCCATGGAGAATTAGTAGCCTAAGCAAACTTCATTACTATAACACAAATGGAGATGAACTTTATTTTGCAGGAGAAGGAGGAATACACTTGCATATGAGGTTAAGTATTCTGGGCAATAGGAAGAGAAAAGGGCTAGCCTAACATTCAGTAGGCAGAAGCAGGGGCATCTTAAAGACGTATTTTACAGATCCCTAATAAAATTAGCAAATCCATGGAATTAGTGATGTCCTCAATGAAATGTATATGGAAAAATAGAGCTATTAGAGACATTAGAGATATATAAATCTAATCTTAGAGAATGTATAGTCTTGAACAGTGCACACCATACACCATGAAATTCACACGTTTGCCTTCTTTGAAAAAGGTGAATAACAGCTATAAGTTTCCATCTCTTGGTGAAGTAACACCCTCCCATTGTAATCTACATTATTTTGGTAAAAGCATCTGTATTTTTGAAATGTTCTACAACCTGTGTTGGATAATTTTATTTATTTGTTTGTTTGTTTGTTTATTGTATAAACAATATTCTTTCTGTGTGTATGTCTGAAGGCCAGAAGAGGGCATCATACCTCATTACAGATAGTTGTGAGCCACCATGTGGTTGCTGGGAATTGAACTCAGGACCTTTGGAGAGCAGGCAGTGCTCTTAACCACTGAGCCATCTCTCCAGCCTGGGTAATTTTTTAATAAATAAATCATCTGTGTTTAATAGTTTTACATTGAAATTCAATAAGTAAATGTAATCTATCCTCCTGCCTGAACTTCTAGCACCTTAGTTTAACAAATGAGGAATGCTGGGTAATTTGCAAGCCTTGATAAAGCCCTGGAGACTCATTCAAAATCTTTCCATAGCATGTAAGCCATATATGATTTTGCATAATCTTGTCCAAGTTTATATTTCATGTCTGAGGCTTTAAGATGAACTTAACAGAAATTACTTAGCAGCAAAATTAGAATCCTAATCCACAGTTATGGATATTTTACTTACAAACAATAGTTTTTTCAGGTAGTACTTTTCTTTCTATCTCATCCTGGCCAACTCCACCAGAACACAGAGATTAGGCTTTTCCTTTACAGGTAAACAAATGTCTGAGTACTTTATTTTATTTTTAGTTTTTAAAATTTTTTGTCTGAGTATTTTAAAGTTGAATCTATTGTTTTAGAATTTCATATTTGTGTGCCATACATTTTGATAGACTCACTCCTGCAAGCCTTCCCTCCAGTTCCTTCCCAACTTTCCCCCACCATCATACTATTCCTTCACATCTTCATGTGCTCTTTTTTCTTTTTTTCTTTTTTTTTCTTTCTTTCTTTCCTTTGTTTTTGTTTTGTTGTTCATTTTTTCCCTGAGGCAGGGATTCCCTGTGTAACAGCCCTAGCTATCCTGGAACTAGCTCTAGACTAGGCTAGCCTTGAACTCCCAGAGATCTGACTATTTCTGTCTCCCAAGTGCTGGAATTAAAGGCCTGTGTCGCCACCACCACCAGGCTCTTTTTTTTTTTTCCTTAACTGCCTAAATCCACTTAGTGCCAACTGTATGTACATGGGTGTAAAATCAATCTGCCCATATTTAATTTTCAATTGTTTAAAATGCCTTCACCCCAAGAGGTAGGAGTAAGATTTAAAAAAAAAACAAAAACAAAACTGCTTTAACAGGATACAAGGACTTGAATAGACCAGTTGAAGTTCATGGGCTACATTCATAGTTAAACTTTCTGTTGATTTAACAGAACAAGTCATGCTCACACCCTAGACCAAAACATTCTGTAGACAAACCACTCCCTGGGGGGAATCCAATGGTAACTCCTTAAGGGAACTAGAACCTTAGTTGGATCCTTGGACTTTTGTTTGCCGTAGAAAAGTATCTCTTCTCTATTCCTGAAAGGTCTGGATATTAGCCACACCTGTGGTCAATGAGCGAGCAGAACTCTCTGACCTAGTCTCAGAAGGGATCTTTGTTTGAGGTAGAAACTGTTATTCCTTTGATCTCTGGTCCCTTTAAGGGACAAGCCACGCCCACTCCCAGCAACCTTTGACCTTTCATCGCCATCTTTAATCTTTCTGTTCTCTCTCTTGGCGTGTGCACACATGACTCC